AACAGTGAGTGAGAAGGGCAAAGAGGAGTAACCAATACAGTAAGTCCCTAAAATTAGAAGGCAGTAATATTCTGGCCACGGGCCAAGGGATTAGCCGGTCAGGGAGGGTAATCTTTCCTCTAACACCAGAGGAAAGAGAGTAAGAAAGAAGACAGAGAAGTTTATAAGTAAATGGAGAGGAAACAGAGTTCATGCCTTCTTTTCCCTATGAGGTGGCGGGTAAGATTTTACGCCAAGCGTGGGGCAGATGGGAGGCTTGAGTATATAGCGGTCAAGATTTTAGAAATGCCACTGTGGAGAAAGGGGAGAAAACTGAGCAGAACTGCTTCAACAGATACCCAAGACAAACTCAAGGCAGACCTAAGACTGTACACTGATCATGCACTAATCCCAGCAGAGTGTGATGATTCTTCAGGACACAGACTAAAAATGGAGGATACTGATGATAGAAATGATGGAAGGCTGGCATCTGCCTAGTGGGTCTTACAGAGTAATAAAGAATAATTAAAAACTGCAAATTCTAGCAAGAAAATACCTGAAGTAGTACACTCCAGAAGTCACAGTAGAGAAAAGAAAGACAAAGAAGTTAAAATCCAGAAAAGGCTGATCGTCCAGGAGACTTGAGTTGGAAGAACACACAGAAAGAGACTACAAAAGTGAGAGCTATAAATTATCAGAGTTTAAGATCTGAAGACAAATTCAAGATCTTTAGTAGATCTGAGGGTGATGACGTGTTAAAAGACGTGGCCAAAATACTGAGTTACTGGAACAGAATGAAACCAACGTTTGCCTGGGCAGGAGTCAAGGGACTTTTAAGGTTAAGGTAGCTACAAAGTAAGCTCAGCACAGTGGTTGGTCACTCACTACTTTTAGTGACCTGAGGAAGACAACCTCTGTTTCAGTTTCTTCATGTGTAAGATGAGGATAATAGTATCTGTCTCATATGGTTGTTGTAAAGACAAAATTAGTGAATAAGTGTAAAGTGCTTAGAAAAGACTCTAAGGCACACAGAAAGAGCCTGATATGAGTAAGCTATTCTATCAATATTGTTATTACTTATACAGTCATTAAAATGTCAGGATGATGTCAGAAATTCAGATGGACAGGAGAACTAAGTATCAAAGTCATCAGGGCAATCGTAGAGGATGATATATGAGGGGGGACCCAACAAAACTGGAATTATCTTCTAGTGGGCGGGCCCCTTGTGCTTCCCCCACCAGGTGAGTTAGTGTTCCGGGAACCCATCTGGATCCATGCACCAGGTTTGCGTTGTTGTAAGAGGCTGCATTCGGCTTTAGAAAATTGTTTTTGAGAACTCTTTCAACACATCTGCCCAGTTCATAATGGGTGACTTACAAGCACTCCTGCCCACAGTGCAGAGTGTTCGGCAGTTTTTGACCAAAAAACAGCTTGACCCCCCAGGGCCCCACTCTTACTATTCACCAGATCTCACCATGAGCAACTTTTTTTTTGTCCCTGGACAAAAAAAGTCCTCAAAGGGAAATGTTTTGCCAATGTGACGGGGGTGAAATAAAAAACTGGCAGAAGCACTAACAGGGATCAAAATCTACAAGTTCAAACACTGTTTTGAGCAACAGTAAAAATGCCTCCATAGTCCTGGCTGGTGTAGCTCAGTGAACTGAGCACAAGCCTGAGAACCAGAGGGTCGATGGTTCAATTCCGAGTCAGGGAACATGCCTGGGTTGCTGCAGGCCAGGTCTCCAAGTAGGGTCACGTAAGAGGCAACCACATACTGATGTTTCTCTCATCTCCCTCCCTTCTACTCTCTGTAAAAATAAACAAAACCTTTAAAAAAAAATGTCTCGGTCAGTATATTGCCTCAAAAGGAGAGTACTTTGAAGATGACTGAAGTTTGAACATGTAAGAATAAATATACAATTTTTAATTAATAAATGCTGGGTTTTGGGCCACAGGGGCCCCCTTTGTAAATTAATGATATGCTTTGGTAAAGATAATGTGGTATCATTAAAAATATTTTAAAATCCATTATTTGCAATCTTATGATTTAAAATACATACACAAACAACCACAAAACAATCACGGAAGTACCAACTGAATATTAGATAATAAGTATTATAAGGGGGAAAGGCTCTGGATGAACATCATAGAAACCACCATGGCAGGCGCAGCAGCAGACTAAATTGTATTAAAATAGAAAAAAGGTGGAATTACCTTGTCTTACTATATTTTTACAAACAGTAAACTCTAAGGTCCTTGAAGGTAAAGAATTAAAGCTCTCTGTGCACTCTCAATTAATTAGTAATGAATGTCATCAAAGTGAGCATAAATGAATCACTGGACCATTAACCAAAAAGTCAGAGAGAGGTCCAAGGCACCTTTTGTAGGTTTTTTTTCCTATCACATTTACGTCTGTTGCATTTCTCTTCCATGCTAATGAGCTGCATGAAAATAAGTTCTAAATGTATTTACAGTTGTTCACATTCTTTTGTGGACTCCAGAACTTCACAGTACATGTTCCAATGAGGCCATCTTTCAAAGAGAACTACATGAAGTAGACATGCTATACCTTTCCCTTTAGAGTCTTCCAAAATTATATCCTATCAGCTTACAATACCAAAAAGGTTACGCTTAGGCCTGGAAAAGACCTGCTGTGATTAGCAGCCTGCAAAGGGGTTTATACAACGAAGGCAGGGGTCCATTGTTGTCCTTTATTTTGCACCCAGGACAAGTTGACAGCAGGGAAAAGGGCTAGAAAGCTTTGGCTGTGGAGACACTCTGTCAGCATTCTCCTTGGGAGTTTATTCCCTGCACAAATTCAAAGTGGGAGAGAAAGAAAGGAAAACTGCATTCACATCTGGTCTGAAAAGGAAAAACAGTTTGTTCTAAGCCTTAGAGGCTGTACTTAATTGGATAAATTTTGGAAAAACATTCATCAGGGCAGAGCTGCACAGATTCATAAAATCTTGCCTCCAAATCAGATCCACAATCAGGTCTGATGTTAACGAATGCTGCAAATATATTTAACCACAACTCTTCAGACTTTTTTTTTTAACTAATAAAATAACTGTAAAAATTTAATACTTAGAAATATTTCTTAATTGGGGCATGGAATTTTAAAAAAGACATTCTGTACTTCTCTTATATTAATGAAAAATTAATTTCTGATGAAGCTTTTGATTCATCTATGTTTTAAAAAGGAAGCTTAATAATGAGATATAGTGTTATGATTTTTCTTAGAAAACCTTCTCTGAAATTTTTTTAATTTTTCAACTTACGAAGTTATAGGAATTTATTCATTAAGAATTGGACTTCGAATGAAAGCAAGGGACACAAAGAAGGCATGCCATGACAGGCTCCAGGTCCGGTAAACCTCTAGGGCGTAGGAAAAAACAGACGTACAGGCTCGCCCTGAATCAGCCGGTGATCATTTCCAGATCTGCTTCACAACGCCAGCACACGTGCAATCCTCATATCCCACCCCTAAACAGTACATTAACAACCCCCCCATAACCCAACAGCCACGCCAAGTTAATTAGAAAGCATCAGCTCACTTCTTAAAGAACTTAGCTTTCATTGTGACTAAGCTAAGCTGATAAAATGCCGCCTTTAAATAAAACATCCACCATATAACTTAAGAGCTACTCAAACCCAATCGCCATACCTTCATTAGGCTCATACAGACCCATCTGTGACACAAAGCAAAATGTTCAATGTCGACAGAACAGCTGCCTAGAACAGGGAGCGAGGGATCCGTTGACACTCTAATTTCAGCTACCTCGAAATTCCACAAAGATGACAACCTGCGCCCTCAGAAATGCTGCTGCCAGCCTCCCCCACTGTCAGGATATTCCAGCTGACCAATCACCGGAGGCTGAGCTGCTCTGAGAACCTACCCATCCAGGGCCATCTACTGAGGCCCCGTCCAGGTCCACGGGCCTTCGCAGTCCTCGGATCTCCCGTGCGCACATACGGCACCGTCAAGCGCCCGCTCCCCGGCACTGGCCGTCGGAGATGAATATACACTCAGCATTTCACCCAGACGAGAATGGAATCTTGAAGACATTTTCCCTTGGAAGCTCAGTAAGCATTCCCCAAGGAGAAAAAGTGATTTCGGAGTTGAATTCTGGTGTGAGGGCCTGGAATGTCTGGTGTTGCCTGAACAATGACTGGCTTGCCGGAGCAGCCTCCCAGCCCCCACAGCTTGGCTTCTGGTGTGGCTAGTCACCCTGAAGGCTGCCAGGGCTGTCACTAGGTGCCTTCCAGCAACAGGACTTGGCTCCTGAAGGATTTGTCAGATCATCCTCCCAATATGGCTGCCAGAGTAATCCTGGGCTGCGAGCGCCGAGACCACAGCCGCCTGCTCAGGGCTGGCCGGCCTCCAGCGAGCCCCCTCCCTCCCTCGCCGCCGCGCTCCCCTCTCCGGTCCTTGCGCCACCGGCTTTCCCCAGCCACCCCCTGCCCTTTCCTGCCTCCATCTGGCAAAGGGGCGCCGCCGCACCCACAGCCGAAGCCTCGGTGCCAACCACAATAGGGGAGAGGGATGAGGGACACAAAAAAAGGTGGCTTCGAGAGAGAGCAGCGCCGTCCGCACGGAGCTGCACTGCGCGCGGAGCCACGGGTACAGACAGACAGCAGCGGGTCTGGCGACCGCGGGGTTAACAGCCCGGGCCTGGCAGCTGCAGGAAAACAGAGGGCTGGTGCGGGGAGCTGCGGGAACCCAGCAGTCCGCTGGACCCTAGCCCGGGGCTCGCCGCTGGTCAGGGGGGGCTCGCCGCTGGTCTGGGGGGGCTGGCCGCTGGCCTGGGGAGGCCCCCCCACTCCCCGAGAGCGAGGCTCTCCCACCCCACCGGGGGCCCCGGCGCGGCAGCACCCTCAGTGCCGGTCGCTCCCGCCCCGCCCAGCGCCTCCTCCACTCCGACGCCGCCCGGACCCCGGCCCGGCCTCGCCTCCCCTCCCCTCCCCCAGAGATGGGCCCTCCGCAACCCGGCGGCACCGGCGCGAACTGCCGCCCGCCTTACCTCAGCCGCGCTGTGGACCGACGGGCAGGCGGGCGGGAGGGCCGGGTCAGCAGGCGCTACGGCGCGCGGGGGTGCGGGGGGCAGAGCACCGACGCTCCTCAGCGCGAGCAGCGGCCGCCGCGAGCCGCAGGACGCCTCTTTGCAGCCCCATCACGCAGCGGCCCGCTCCCGCATCGAGGGCCACGGAGGGCGGCAGCGCGGGAGACCGGGGTGTAACGAAGGGCCGGCAGTGGCGCCTGCGGGGACTGAGGAGCGGCTCGTACTCGCGCCGGTGCCTCCCACGGCCGCCGCCGTCTGAATGCCCGGAGTCAGTCTTCGCAAAGCTCCTCCCGCAGCCGCGGGCGCGGGACACCGCCCCAAGCCTAGCAGCCCTGCGTCACCTCGGCCCGCCCCGGCGCCTGCGACTGACGTAGCGGCGACCAATCGGAGCGCAGAACTCAAAGTGGCCGACCAATCGCAGAAAGAGCTGTAGGGGGTTGCTGTGGAGGGGAGCTGTGGAGGCGCCGGGCGCCCCCTGATGGCCTAGAAGCCTGTTCGAGTGTGGGAGTGCTGGGTTGCGGGGTGGGCGAAGCCGGCGCCCAGAGTCCCCTCCCTGGTGACCCCCCGAAGGGCGTTAGGCGGCAGCAGCCTCGCCTGGCCAACCGGATGATCCGCCTTGAAAGAGGACAAAGCTCGGCTAAGTGGGGCGGGGCAGGGCTGGTAGGGGCCAGATGCCTGTGGCGGAGCCGAGTTAAGTGCGGGAGGCGGACGAGGGCAGAACGTTTGGCCATTGGGAAAACATCTCTCACGTTGAAGCCGCCGAGCACGGCTCGGTCGGAACTGAAACACGCAAAAGGATGAATGTATTTTCCCGCGGAAAGCTTCCCGGCCTATTCTTCCCGAGCCCGATCACAACAGCTCCCACACGCCACCTTGGGAAAAAAGGCGTAATCAGTCAAGGAAAAGCGTGACTTAGTGGGCATTCAACTTGTCTCCTTGGGAGACAGACGAAGGGCCCGAGAGTAAAAGAAGAAAAAGCTTTGTGTGGCTCCCGCGTTAATGAGCCGAGCTCCCCTCTGGGAGATGCCCTTGAAAGAGTGCTGCTGGAATACAGAAACCCCGAGAACACGTGAGATCCGGTAGCGATTTTTTTAAAAATCGGATTTAGATTCAGCTCAACAGAAAAAGCCTGCAACTGTTGTTCAGGAGCCGTCCAGTTTTATTGCCGTTGAAAATATAATATTCAACGGTGATATGTGCAATTTTTATGCCAAGCATCAGTATTTTACAAGGTTGCGAAATGCTTTCTTATGTACTAGAAGAAATTGAAAATAGACTCCCCTCCTCCCGGAATTCAGTGCAGTATTGGGTGTGAAAAGCCTTACTTGTAAGCATTGGCCAGCGACTTTCAACTGCTGTGATGCAAGAATTTTTAAAACATTCAGTACCTATTTAGTCAGGGGTACTGACCTCTTTTGCCTTACATTGTCAAGTTTAGAAATGACAACAACCAACACAAGAATCGCGTGTGGATGAATCAAAATTATACTTTTATTTTTGTCAGATCAGTAAAAAATATATAATTTAGTAATTAGTTTATTTCTGCTATGAGGTGAAAAGGTTGAAAATCGCTGGAATAAGCACTTAAACTTCCAAAATAATTTTCTACACTCACGATTTTGGAAAACCTCCACCCCGACGTAAAGTCCTCACACTCGGCATCCAATCAACATTCACTGAACATGCCTCACTTATTTAGAATTTAAACTCCACCTATCTACATTCGACATAGCTTACACTGCAGAATACAAACAATAACACTGTGTAGCATGAAAATGGGAGTCATGATGCAATAAAAGGCTGCGTTGGGGAAAGCTTGTATGAATAAAGGGGGTTCATGGAAAGGAAAATGATATTAAAAAACAGAGTGACGGGAATGTGCTACCATCGGGCGCAACACTCAGCTCTTAGCGTCCTGAAGGCCAGGACGGAAATGAACCTACGGTGGGCTAGTAAACAGAAGCTGCCCATTTCATCAGTAGACACCAGACTACTGATGGCAGCTCTAGGTACCACGATAAGTACCATGGAGAGTTACACAAACCTGGATGCTAGTTAACATTGTTTGAGTGTTCAATGGAGTTCAAACCAAAAAGAATCTAAAATAGTGAAGGTAATCAGCCCAAAAGCACACAGGGAAGGGTATAAGCAGACAAGGCTGTTCTAGGTTTCAAGGCCAAAATAGCCTGTCCTGCTAAGTCTTGCGCCCCTGTGACAGATGAAGTCCCCCTGCAGAGCCACTGAGTTTCTCAGATTACAGATTCTGTACAAAGGCACTACTTAAAAGTCATAAAGTACTAGAAGATTGAATTTAGCCATGGCCTGGTAGAGTTATCCATGGAATACAAGGAAAAAAACAACGTGAAAAGATCTATTAATGTAATGCACACAGCCATATTACTATAACTAATGAGGCTTCCAGATACAAAATCAATATAGAAATAGCCAATCAGAAAAAGTGATTTAAAAGGATCCCATTAAAAATAGCAATAAAACTATTAAATATTTAAGAATAAATTGACAAAAGATGAGCAAGGCCAATATGGAAAAAAAATATATATATATACAACTGTATTGAATAAACACATTAAAGAAGGCCTAAATAAATGGAGAGCTGTTCTTTATTTTTGGAAAAGAAGAAAATATTATAAAGCTGTCAGTTATTTTCAAGTGGATGTGTAAATTTAATGTAAGTTCAATTAATATTTCAATTGGATTTTTCGTGGAATTTGACAAGGTGATGGTACAATTGAAATGGTAAGTCTGTTCCATAGCCATTAAAAAAAATTCACTTGCTAGAACAAAGCCAAGAAGAGCCACAGCTATTTTGAGAAATGAGGTGTGAGATGTGCCCATCAGCATGATTATCTGTAAGATCATACCAATCAGAACTCTGTTGCATTGGCACGAGAATACACAAATCAGATATGAAACAGAACAGAGTCCAGAAACAGACCACGTGCCTATGGAAATGTAACATATGATAGCACTGGCATTACAAATCAGTGGGGAAATGATAAACTATGAATAATAATAAAGGATGCTCGAATAATTGCTTAACTGGTAAAAAATGTGATTTTTATATCACATCACATCAAAAAATAAATTTCAGTTCAACTGAACACCTAAATCAGAAAAGCAAGGCTGTAAGTATTTTAGTAGAAAATATAAAATATTTTTTTCAACCTTGAGATAAAGAAAAACAAGAGAGCCCCAGCTGGTGTTGCTCAGTGGATTGAGCACCAGCCTGCATACCAAAATGTCACCAGTTCGATTCCCAGTCAGGGCACATGCCTGGGTTGCAGGCCAGGTCCCCAGTAGGGGATGCACAAGAGGCAACCACACATTGATATTCCTCTCTCTTTCTCTCTCCCTTCCCCTTTGTCTAAAAATAAATAAATAAAATACATTTACTAAAAAAGAAAAATAGGGCAAAAAACACTAACCACAAAAGACTGATGAATCGTCTATATTTTTTTAAGAACTCACTTTCTATACAACAACAGATGTTATAAAACAAAACAAACAGCAAACCACAGGTTGGAGAAATACATTTGCAACACATGTAACCAGCAAATTATTCAAAATATATAAAGAAAGCTGATCCACTTACAATAATACAAATCATACAAAAATACAAATAATCTAATAGAATAGGTTATAAGTAGGTAGTTCACAGAGGAAGGTATGAAAAGACACTTAACTCACTGGAAATGAGATACCATGCTGCATCCACTAAACTATCAGAAATGAAAAGTGTGACAAAACCAAGTGATGGAAGGGAGTGAAATGGCATGACCACTTTGGAAAATGTGTAAGAAAGTCAGTGAATGGAATATGAGCACAGCCCTCTTGTCCAGCGGTTCATCTTTCGGTACCTACCCTAAGGAAACTCTTGCACAGATGAGTGAGGAAACAGGCACAAGGATGGTGTTTGCAACACTGTAATCGGGAGCAACTGAAATGCCCATCAACAAGAGAATGAATGGATAAATTGTGATATATCAGGGAGTTACTGTGCAGCAGTTGAAATGAGTGATCCGGAGCTACATTTAACAACACATCGACGGTAGTCAGGGTCCAGTTAGAAAATAGAAGGCATGGTAGTTTTCATGGAAGACACAGGAGATTTTAATGGAGGAGTTGGTTATCCAGATGTTGCAAAAAGGAAGAACAAGAGATGGTTGATAACTCAGAGACTGGAAACTGCAGGAAAGTGCTGAACACCCCTAGCACTGGGAGAAAAAAGAGGAGCGGGTCTTTGTTACTGAAGCTCAGAGAGTCAAGGAGGGGCCAGGACCGCAGCTGAGGGAGAAGAGGGGTTGCTGTGTCAGAAGAAAAGCACCAGAAGAAGGGAAAGAGCAAAAATGAAAGAAAAACTGAAGTCTTCACTCCTCATCTCAATACCTCCTACTGGCAGAATCTAAAGGAAACCGGCTGGCAAAGGAACTTGAAAAATACAGACTACGGAGGGGTGGGTCCCAGCAGAGAGGCAACAGGTAAATAGCACAATAACAAGCTCTCAAAAACACAAAGCTGAGCAAAAAAAAAAAAGAAAAGAAAAAAATGAGTTGCAGAATAATATATGCAGTTTAGTAATGCCACTTCATAAGCAAAGGATGAAAACAAGCAGATGAATGAATGCTACATTGTTTAGGACAACATTCGTGTATAATCAAGGACAAAAACCTGCATGTGAACAGCAGCCATCAAGTTCAGGACAGAGGTTGCCCCAGGAGGGAGGGAGAGGACAATAGAGGAATCAGGAAGCCGGATACAGGAAGCATCAGCTATATCTGTCGTATTTTATTTCTTGGGGGAAAATAACACAAGGGTGGAAAGGTTGATAGAGTTGGGTGGTGGGTACCATTAGGGTCGTCTCTATATTTTACTGCCTTTTAAAAAACATCTCAGCATTGCCCTGGCCCAGGTGGTTGGAGCATCGTCCTGTGCCCCAAAAGTGCAGTTCGATTCTGGGTTAGGGCATATACCTAGGTTGTGGGTTCCACCAGCTGGGTCACTTACAGGAGGCAACCAGTTAATGTTTTTCTCTCTCTCCCGCCCCCTTTCTCTCTCTTTAAAATCAATAAACAAATCCTCAGGTGCGGAGTAAAAAATATATATCTGTCATCATCATAAACCAATATTTGTCCAAGGCATTTCGGCTGATGCAACCCTCTGCAAGCTGGGTCTGCAGCGAGGTCAGAGGGGCTGGGTGGAGCCGAAGGGACTCAGTGGGCAGGGATCATCGGCCATAACCCTCCCCCCCCACCTCCTGCGTTTGAGGTAAGCTGGTCTCCAGCCAGCAC